ACACACACATATATATATATGGTATGTTAACTCTTCCCCTGCTGGACTTTATGGGACAAGTGTCACTGTTTCCCTATTACGTCTTTGTGTGTGTGTGTGTGTGTGTGCGCGTGTGCACGCGCGCGCGTGTTGCTATTGCTGCAGTATTGGAATCAAACTCAGGGCCTCAAACATACTAGCTAAGCAGTTTACCAGAAAGCTACACTTCCAGCCCAGCCCCATTATTCTAAGGCCCTTGCTAAATCTAAGAGCCACACTTCCACCCCACCCCATAAAGCTAGCCATCTGCCAATCATGATAGCACTCACAATAATATAATCCTAGCATTGGTGAGGCTCAGGTAAGTGGATTGCCACTTCAAAGCCAGTCTGAACTACATAGTTCAAGACCAATCTGAACTACACAATGAGACCCTGTCTCAAAAAACAACAGTTCTGCATGAGGTGTAGACTTTGGTTTTGTTTTTTTCCGGTATCAGGAGTCGAACTCATGACCTCGCGCTTGCCAAAAAGGCACTGTGCCACTGAGCTAAATCCTCAGCTCCACAAGGTGTAGACTTAAGCTTTACCCATACTAGGTTTGCTCCACTTCCACCCTCCACTGTAGACACCACTGACTTTAAAAGCAGTGAGATTTGCTCCCTTGTTATGTAAAGTTTCTTGGTGTGTTCTGTTAATGTAAAACAATGAACAACTGTGAGAGTGTTTTGCCCTCCTCTTTCTTAGAACTCCTCGACACATATGGAGGGACTTTCAAGTTTCAGCAAGAACAAGGACTCCTTGTTGTCTGGTCTCTCTTAGCGCATTGCAAGGTGTACCACATGTACCTGTACAGATAGCATTCAACAAAAGCTGCTTCAACTTTTTTGAGAAAAATACTTTATTCAAAAAATGTTTTATTCTCATGTACCTAAAATTGTGAAGAAAATAAATGCATCCCATAAACTGCCTGCAGACCTTAGGAAGCTCTAAAAATACCTCCACAGTACACAGGAGCACCTGCATACCAGCACATGCATGCATTTTATTGTTCTGCATATTACAAAAAGTAACTTGCCACTTCAGATGACATCGTTGACAAAGTAAATTACTTTTTCGATTGCAGTTGCTATGAAACTATTGAAGGGTTTTTTTTTTATAAACTGCACAGAGATCCAACAAACTGAATTGTTAAAAAAAAATATTAAAGATTCTTAAAAAAAAAACCAAAGCTGGGCATGCTGGTGTATGCCTGTAATCCCAGCACCTGGGAGGCTGAAGCAGGAAGCTCTTTGTGAGTTCTAGACCAGCTTGTCCTACAAAGTGAGTTCAAGGCCAGCCTGAACTGCATAGCGAGACCCTGTATATATATGTAAGTGTGATATCTACCAAAGGCTGATCAGACCCTTAGATATCTATGGGGGGGACAACAGGTAATAAAGAGAGAGACAAATTTCAGGGTACAAGGGGACCAGAAGCAGCTCATTTTTTCTACCTACCTGTAACCAGTAACAAAGTATTTTTGTTTTTGTTTTGTTCTGTGGCAGTGGAGTGGAGGGTTATTATAAAAATCGTCAGTGGCAGCTTGCGGGGAACTTGCATTGTTGGCATCTGTATTCCCTTTTTTGAAGAATGATGATTTGGACTATTTCCAAAATAACATCAGAAAACTTAGGGTTGTCTCATTATTGTAACAGAAGATGGAATGGAAAGAAGTCAGGAAATAATGTTTTAACTCAGACTCTGCCATGCAAATCTTGGTCAAAGCTCTGAGGCCTTGTTTTCTCACCTATAAAATGAAAATCCTAAAGCACAGCAGTAACTCTCTACAAAGATCAGGGCTCAGCACACCTTGAAGGGGACTTCTACGTATTCCATAAGGGAAAACGTCCTTCCTGCCAGTTCGCCTTCTGGGGTTTTCCAAGTTACAGGTAAAGAGAGCTGGACCCAGTTATGGTATAGGGGACATGGAGGCAGAGAGATAAGCATTAGTTTAGAAGAAATCTGTATTACTGCAATAGCTGGATTATTTGATAACCCAGGGACTGAATCCCCTTATAAAATGAGCCAAATTAAACCTGCCCTCCTGAGGCTGGGGATTTAGCTCAGCAGCACAGCGCCTGCCTGGCAAGCGAGAGGTCATGAGCTCAATTCCCAGCACCAGAAAAAAAACAAAACAAAAAAACAAACCTGTCCTCCTTTAAATTGTGGGTGCTGGGTATTGTGTCCAAGCAACGCAGAAGCTGACTGAAACACTATGTTTTATTTTTGTTTTTTTTTTTTTGGTACCAGGGATCAAACTCACGACCTTGCCCTTGCCAGGCAGGCGCTTATGCCACTGAGCTATATCCCCAGCCCTGAAACACCATGTTTATATGGCACATATTTCCATGCACATAAATCAGTATAAACTGTTTCTACATCCTTCTTTTCTTAGTTCCTCATCCATTAACCATGATCTTCGATCTCCCAGCCTCAGAACGGTGTACACTTTATATATCACCTGGTCTCAATTATTTTGTTAATACAACAGAAAATTGATTAAGGTGCTAAATGGACAAATTGCTTTTTAATCTTTTTATAGGTCAAGAAAAGTTGGCAGCAGTTTATCAACTGTTCAGATAATTAAGCAATTTCAATAATTCTTACTAATGTGACAGATTTTTACTATCTCTTAGCTGATTTGATTTAGGGGACTTAGGAAAGACAAACATTTTTCTTCAGAGTGTAGCAAACTTTAAGTGAAGGACCTCTCACTTAAAAAAAAAACCAAGAGTGAGCCTGACCACTGTGTCCAACTCTGGCTCCCGTCTCCTGAGTGGCCTTCACAGGAGACACACACACGTGGGGTCACCCAAACCCGAATCTCAGCCTCAACACACTGACCTAACTGAACCTCTTTTCACTATAAAGCACCAACCTCAGATATTTTGTATTCTCTTTTGTATTTCACTTTGTAACTATAATATGGGAAATTTTAGATGTACAAAGCAATGCAGATACCAAAATTGCTTTCAAAGTGTCTGAGGCTGGGTAAGTCTCTGAGATCTTCAGACCCCAACATATACAGACATGGTAAAAGTTATGAATAAAAATAAAATATATCTCAATCAGATATTTTGTTAGAGCAACAGAAAATCAACTAAGACACTCAGAAACAAAAACAATAGGACTCTAGAACATTTTAATTCTAACGAGCTTTAATAAATAAAAAGCTCCATTATTTCCAAATGTCCATCAGGAAGGAAATGAATAATCAGTCCCACCAGTACGCATCATAAAACTAAACAAAAAAGGAAGATGAAGACTCGTAACTATTCTTTTTCATACAGATAAGATACTGCTTCCTCGAGGAACAGCTCAGTGTCACTTAATAATCTGAACTGGAGGGAAGAAAAGCAACTGGTCCATACAGTTTCCTTCACACAGTATGGTACAATGACACGCCAACTGCACTGGTTAGGAATGGCTCGCTAAAACGTTGAAAAAGTGGAAGACTTCATCCTTGTCGTAGACGGCCACCTCAGTGGAGCACTCTGCACACATGACAGGGTGGTAGACTTCCTCAGCTCCTGCCTGCTCCGCGGGATCTTCCTGGTTTGGTCGAAGTTTCTTGTTGCCCCGTCTTTTCTTCCTGTTGTCTGGGTTTTTGTATCTCAGAACCTCCTGTCTGTTGACAGTACAGTTCATCACAAACATCGCTCTATACTGAGTTTTGTAGGATTCGTGCCTAAGAGGAAAATGAAGTGGAGAACTCGGATTTATGGTCTATTTTAAATTCTCCTTTTAAATAAAACTTGAGAACACCAAAAACTTATTGAAACACAAACCAAAGTAAAGAGTAGAACAGAACAGCATATCTAAAGCAATCTGAAAGAGCTGTTTTAAGAATAGGAAGAAACTTTTTACTGAAAAACAGTACAAAGGAATGATCTAGTGACAGGTATGGCAGTTACCCTGATCTGCTCATTACACTGTACATATGACTCAAATGTCACAGTGCGCTGCACAAATATGGAGAATTACTATATGTCATTAACACAGAAACACATTAGTAAAAGAAATGTATTCCCTTTTACCAGTTGTTTTTTATAAGGACAGTCATCTATTTCAATTCATAAATAAATTAGTTCATTCTCAACATGCCCATGTCCACTGCCTTCTTTAATTCCTTATAAATTCCAGTGGGCACCTGGCCAAGTGAATAGCCTGTTATGTCACTGATTAATGGTGTGACTCTGGGGTGACACAAGAATTTACATTTCTAACCAATTTCCAGATGATTCTAAAGTTTTTAATATTAGAATAGCACATTTTTCTATTTAAATGGTCATTTTTTCTTTTTTAGTTTGTTTTATTTTGGTGGTACTGGGAATTGAACCCAGGATCTTTGCACCAAGTTACATCCCCAAGTCCTCCCTCTTTTTATTTTGAGACAGAGTCTTATTAAGTTACTGAGTTATCAAGTTTGGGCTCAGATTTGCAATCCTCCTGCCTCACCCTCCCACAGTGCTAGAATTACAAGTGTGTACCACAACTCTCAGCATAAATGGCCATTTTAAACATTTTGGTGTGTGGTGCTAGGGACTGAATCCAAGGCTTTATACATGCTAGGCAAGAGCTGTATCACTGAGCTACAACCCCAGCACATACACACCCCCACGCCACACCTTGAGACAGGGCTGAGTTGCCCAAACTGGCCTTGAATTCATGGGCTCAAGAGATCCTCCTGCCTCAGCCATATGCCACTATACCAAGCTGAACTGTGTTCTTCAAGAACACTCTCAAGTACCTACCATACAGAAGCCCTGAATTCAATCCCTAGCACCACCACAAAACATAAAGTCTTAGGTCTGGGGATATAGCTCAGTGGCATAAGTGCCTGCCTGGCAAGCAAAAGGTCCTGAGTTCGATTCCTGATACCAAAAAAAAAAAAAAAGTCTTAGATCACTTCCACAAACTTCAATATTTTCACAGATGCAGCAATACTTGATTGGATCAAGCATAACATAAAATGTGGATATGACTGAAACATAAATATAGAATAGATCATCACTGTGCCCAGGTTTAAGGTGCTTACACTTTGGCTATAATTAGAAACATTTTCAGTCTTTTGAATTATCTGAGGTTTGAATTACAGGAGAACTTCAAGGTATGTTCACCTATAAAATACAGAACACTTGCCTAGCATGTATGAGGCTCTGGATTTGAACCTAGCATTAGTTTAGAACTCCCCTATAGCTGTATAACTTTCAATATAGGTTTTGATTCCTCCAAAATCCAGCTTTCTCCAACTTCCTCACTTCCCAAGCTCTGCTCCTACTGCTGCCTGCCTCTCAGGGACCAGATGAAATCTCTACCTCAGACCTCTGATATATCTGTTGTGATAATAAATTTTTGTGCCTCAATCAGTCACCAGCACGTCTTAAACCTATCTGACATTTTGGTGCCAAAACATGGGAGACCTTTGTGAGGCCACCAACCCTTAAGGCTGGCACTTGTCATTGCTGGCCTTCCACACAATGCTGGGCATCTTCTCAAACTCAAGTGTGTCAGTAGGCCTTCTCCAGAAGATCCTGTCCATTTTCCTGCTGTCCAAAAATCCCAGCACGAGGTCTTGGTCTCCCCCAGCCTGAGAACTGTCGCTCTTCCTTAAGACTTAAACAGATTTATCCAGCACAATGACAAGTGGCCCAAAATTCCTCACGTGTAGGCTTTCTTTTATCTTTGCAGTCAACTGTCTGTCCTGTATTACTTTCCAAATTCTCCTTTGCTTCACCCAGACCTGACTCATTCTGTCCTTAAACCTAATTTGAATCCCACCAACCACAAGCGGCCACTGCTGTATGCCCCTCAACCCCCACCCCCTTCCTCTCCAACCAGCTCTGTCCTAAACCAAAACCTCAGCCAGCTCTGCTGGACCCCTCCATGGGGGGTGGAGGGGGTTGTTTAAAAAATATTATTCACTGATTAATGGTGTGACTTATGGCTTGTACCTAGATGTTTCCCCAAAGCCTCATGCGCTCACAGGTGGGGCTTTTTGGAGGTGGCTGTATCTACGGTGTGTGAATGTGGATTGAGGGTATGATACTGGGATTAAGGGTGTATGGTATTGGATTAGTCTATTTTTTTTTTCTTCCGGTACCAGGAATCAAACTCATGACCTTATGCTTGCCAGGCAGGCGCTGTGCAGCTGAGCTAAATCCCCAGCCCTGGATTAGTCTTCTAATTGGTTATCACAGTTCTGGGTATGTCTAATAGGAACACCCACCCTAGGTACGGATGGCACCACCCAAAAGGCACATAGCCTGGATGGGATGTAAGGGAGAGGCTGGTTTGCTGCTGCTGCTTCACTGCCTCCTGCCTACTTAGCCATGGACTGTTTCTCCTCTGTGATACCCCTCTGCCATGCCACCCTGCCTGCCTTGGAGCCAGTTGATTATGAACTGAAACCTCTACTAACTACGAGTGGCAATAAATCTTTCCCTCTTTAACTTAGGGGACCTAGATATTTTTTCTCAGTAATGAGGATGGTAACTAATACATCCAAGTTCATGTTCCCTCGTCCCTCTTTGACCTTTTCCAAATTAAGCAAAATGCCTGGATTTCAGCCACCCTCAGGTCTCCAGTCTCTCCCCTCTGGATAACTCCCCTGCAGTCTCTCCCTACCTGCATACTCTGATCACCATTTCTAACTCTTACTGGTATAGTTCCATACTATTAAAAATACTATGCCACCCAGCCAGGTATGGTGGTGCATGCCTATATCTAATCCCAGCACTCAGGAGGCTAAAGCAGGCAGATTGCCTGAGCTCAAGACCAGCCTGAACTATGTAACAGGATTTTGTCTCAAAAAAAAAAAAAAAAAAGTACTATGGTATGGTACGCCTAGGAAGAATCCTGACTGGTCTACTTAAAACTAAACTAAAAGAAAAGTATTATTATAGTCCAACCTGGCCAAAAGAGCATAAAAATACACTGGTTAAAGGTAATTACCTTAGGTGTCTCCTCTGTTTGCTTGTGAGTCTGTATTTATAATAATCAATCTGTGACATGGAGAACTACAGGACAAAACTCCCTCTCCTGAAAAAGCAGCTGCCTGAACCACTTCGCTTCAATTTTCTCCACGATGGGTGGCTCGCGGTTTCCCCAGGGCTCCCAACCCCCAAGGTTAGGGGAAATACTGTTAATAAACAGTATGACTTTTTAAAAACTGATCTGTATAAGCTCACAGTAGCCACCAGGTGCCCTCTCCTTACAGCAACAACAGACACTAAACTCTCAGCCATGCCAAGTGAGTTCAGAGAGAAAAAGAGAAGTGGAATACAACAAAATATCAATACCAAAGCAGAAAACAAGACTTCCTAAAATATTTCTTGTAAATAGCTTTGGGATAATCCTTCAACTACAATGATAGGGGTTAACTCGCTCTTTTGTTGTTTTCTGCCTGTTGTTTTCTGCTTTCTATTAAGATAATTCATCATTTAAAGCAATATAAAGTCTTAAAAGGCTGTGTTATGGTTTGTGTCTGAATGTCCCCGCAAAGCCTTATGTAGTCATGGGGGGGGCTTTTAAAGTTTGACTGATTATGGCTGTGAGTGCTACACCTGCCCTGGGGCGGGTAGTTTTGCATATGTAAGGGAAGCAAAGAGGCTTGCTCTTCCAGCTGCTGCTCCTCCTTTTTGCTCTTGCTGCTTTTGCTGTCTTCCTACATGAATGTTTGACCTCTGCCATGTGCCACTCTGCCTTGGAGCCAGCTGAGTATGGACTGAAACTTCCACAATCTGTGAGCTAAATAAACCTTTCCTTCTTTAATTTTGAGCATCAGGTATTTCATCTCAGCAAGGAGAGAAAAGTAACCAAGACAGGCTGTCAGCCCTAGTTAAAAGGTAACATCTTTTTCTTTCTGCTTTTTAATGTTACTAAGATAACTTACTTTCAAGGTTAGTTAATAGTCTGTTATTCAGCCAGCTCTAATTAAAATGTAACGTCTGAGCCAGGTGTGGTGGCACGTGCCTGTAATCCCAGTACTCAGGAGACTGAGGCAGGAAGATCACTGCAAGTTCGAAGCCACCCTGGGCTACATAGTGAGTTCAAGACATAGCAAGACCCTGTCTCAGATAGATAGGATAGGTGACGGATGGATAGATGGACAGATGGACAGATAGACAGGCAGGTAGGCACACAGAAACATCTGAGATAAAAAATGTACCAGGGTGCCGGGTGTGGTGGTGCACGCCTGTAATTCCAGCACTGGGGAGGCTGAGGCAGGAGGATCATTGCAAGTTCAAGACCAGCCTGGGCTACAAAGCGAGCTTAAGGCCAGCCTGAACTGCATGGTCTCAAAAAGATCCAAAGGGGAAAAAAAAAATGTACCAGGAACATTTTAAAATCCAAGTGGCTAGTAGGCTTGTTAATAAAAGAAGTAAATAGGACACAACGTAATATAAAAAAAAGGTTTTAAGTATAAAATGTATTTTTGGTATAAAAAGATCTTGTATGATAAGGTTTAGCTCTACCAAGATGGAAAAAAAAAAAAAAAACAGCAAAACTAAGCTCAATAGCCCCAGTTAGCAGACAATCAGGTTACTAGATAACCATGATCTGTTCCTATGTGACTTTCCAAAAATGCATTATTCCTCAACACCTGAACCTTGACTGTGTCAGCAACTCAGGCCCCTGTACTTCCTGCAGCACAGCCCCCAGTCAAACTGTACACCTACGCTGGGG